AAGCATGAAACAAACATACTGTGGACGGGCGAAATCCATTTCACACCTGCAAATACCAACCAACACTGGTTTCAACCATGGCTTCAACGCATTGCGAAATGGATTTCGTCCATCCACAGTTGAGCCAAAGCGGTGATTGCCCCTTACGACAACGGGGTCCCTTCGGGCGATAGTTGAAACATGCTTACCCAGGCGCCTGGCCCAATTTTATTCACACCGAGGCGAGAGCGTGTTCAATCATTCTTAACTGGCCTTTCAACAGGGGTGTGTTCCTCACCTTGCTGGTGCTCAGTAAAGAATGTTGGAATGAACCAACAGATTCCTTAAAGGAAACCACCAGTTGGATGGTTCATAAGGGTGACTTTCCTCATTCCCTGCTGAGCACCGACGAGTCACCCTGACCCAGTCTCCTTTGCAAATGCCTCTTTTGGTTGGGCTCTAGGATTAAATGCCCATTACTTTTCTCCAAAAAACGCTGTCTCCTGTGGCGCAATCGCAAGATTCCCACTGAATCCTAGGGCTCCCTGCATGTCCAACTTGGTTTAAACATCCGCCAATTGGGGCCATTCTGTGAGTTTGTTGATGTTGTTTTCTTCAGCAGGGAAAAAAGGTGTTACCGTGAGTTCCCCTTTCGTTTAAACAGGAAATGCACGTAGACCAATGAAAACATCTCGTTTCTGTAGCCCCTAGCCTCGTTTCAAGGTGAGAGACAAAGCCTCAAGGCTTCCCGAGAAAAGTCCAGCGCTGGGCCTGTCAGCGAGTTTTCCCGTTCAACTAAAAGGGTCCCAAGAGTCTAGGTCCCCGTGTAGTTCCCTTTTAACGCTTCCTTTTTGGGGGAGGCTTCCCCTACTAAAATAGACTACAGCAAAAAAGGTAACCTTATTCTAACCTCTCTACAGGAGGACCTAGAAGTTGATGTGCAAGGTGCCCTAGTTTTTTCAGTTCAGCCACGTTGGCTGGTAGAAACCACTGTGAATGGTGGTAGGGTTCTTTGCAGAGGCCCCAAGGACTATGCGGACTTGATCTGAATTCTGTCACCCAAAACTCACCCAGTCAAGCTGAACCCAGTGAACGGAAGAATTAGTTTTAGGTGTACTCCCAAAACCTGTTTTTTCGGAGGGCAAACTAAAATGTGAATCAGAATCACATTCCCAGTTGCCCAGTGAGTGGTGCCCTGTTTCCTGTTTTTTGAGAGAAGTTCCCCTTCAAAGTCAATCGACCAGAGAAGTACACCCTTTTTCCCATGGAAATCCACTCATCTGAGCCGGGTTGTGGGATCAAGGGCTTTCTCCAACCACTTCTGTGATACTTTTGGGAATCCCCCTTATGACCACAATAGTCTTTGAAAAGCCCTTTCCGTATCACAGATTCGATTCCATTCACAGCCCCATCTGAGTCTTGTTTTGGGACTTGAGAGGTGCACCAAGGCCTCAGAAATTGGTTTTTTCGTTGGGTTCCGAGGGGGAGCTGCGGTCAGGTGAGCTTGCTCAAAACCGATTCGGGGAATTGGAGGGTAAGGGACAATCCCCTTGCCAGAAATAGCTGCGGAGATCCGCCTGATCAATTCTTTACATGGTTCTGGGTCACCCATTTCAATACCGGGTTTTGATTGTGACTCAGGTGATGTTTTTTTTTTTTTTTTCCGGGTGGAGAAAAGAAGTCGGCCACCCTGCGCTTCAATGGAAAAGAACCTCCCTGGGACGTTGCCGAGAATTCCCAATAAAAACGCGGCCTTCGAGATAGTCTTGGGCCTGTTGAGGGAGCCCAACTTTTGGTCGGTTTCCTTTTGTGAAGCCCACGGGAAACCAACCATTTTGGGGCTCCCCTATTTTGAGACAAACCCCTCTGGAAAGCTCTAAGTCGCAAAATGTGACACGCCGAGGTTAATTGGAAAACACCTGAGGGAGTTCCTGTAGGGGTTTTAGACCAACTTTGCCTTCTCCCTCTGCAGAAAAGCTGGAAAAACAGAAAGTTGCATAAATTCACAAGTCAGGATAATGGGAGACACGTGGGTGTGTCTTTTCTGTAGGGGACCCCAAAATGGTGGTTTCTTTGTGGTTTTCCTGTAACACGACCCTCAATGCAGGGAACCGTACTTAGTTTTGCCATTCGTCAAGTGAGGGGCTGCAACGTGTTTGCTGTGATGCGTCGTGCCCCCAAACGCCCGGACGCATCAGCTGATGGAGGCTTGCTAGCTGAAGTTCCTGAGGATGACACCCAGCTTGACCTTTTCGATGATCAGATGGAGGTCGATGATGATGCCGACGATGGAAGACAAGGCCGTCGATGCCCTCCAAGCCGACACGGCGGTCAAAGACCGAACCAACAAGGGGGTACCCTCAAACCCCTATGGGGAGTTATGCCCACCCACCGTTTTTGAGGAGGTCCCTATTCATCATGGAAGCCAACACGCACATTGAGGGGTAGAAACTCTGGACCGTTCCATTGGCGTCATTCTGAATGTGAGCAACCCACAAAGGCAGGGGGTACCCCCCAAACCTATCATGTTGGTACTTCTTCGACTCACGTTCCCCAGATGCATAGCCCCTGCTCTTCCTCCTTTGACTGACACCTCCATGACTGAGGCAGCAAAATGTGGTCTTCGGGCGTCCCTTCGACCCGGAGCGCTACCGCGACGTGTTGGAGGTGGGCTGACTTGTGAGTGACATACAGCTCCGCGCACACACGGGATTTCGGAGTTCACGGAGTTCTCGCACTTCAGTCGATTTGTTTGGGTTTGGACCATTTGGGGAGTAACAGAAAAAACGTTGGACCCTTTTTTGGTGAATTCAGTTGAAGAACTGGCAATCTTGCGGCTAGGCTATTGTCAGTTCTTGGTTTGTCCGATGTAGATGTGGGGCCGTGTCAAAACAGGGGGAGCCTTTCACCCGCACTTTCAACGCGAGCTTCATGCAAAGAAGGAACTGGAGAGAGGGACCCCCCTGGCTTGGACGTGCGAGCACGTGACAGGGGTTGTGTTGAACGAAGCTGTCGGGCTGGTGCACGTGTTCGACTCGGGCCCCCTACCCTTAGGGTCCCAAGACTTAGCTACAGAAATGCATCCAGGAGATCATCAATGGCTCCTTGCAAGTTGAATCCATTATGATAGACCTTACTGGTTCCTGGATCTGATTTGGTGATCTTCTCGCCATAGTAGACGTAGGTAATTTCTACCTCCCTTCAGTCGAGCTTATTGCCCGTCGACCATTTGAGAGACTTTGGGCTCTGTGAGTTAGACCCAGGGTGCTGTCCCTCATTTCTTTGGCTTTTGTTTTCTGACCGGCGAAAGCTGCGCAAGTCGCTGCGGGCTTTTCGGAGGATCCTCACCGCTTGGTTCCCTGCAGTCATTTGCCGTTCCTTGAGTTTCTTGGGATGGTGGTTTGGCGTGGCATGGAAACCCTTTTCCTGGCGATTCGACCGATTTGAGAGAAAAATGAGTGGATCAGCCATGATGTAGATCCTTGGCGGATCAGGTGTCGATTTTTGTGCTTTTGGTAGAAATGGCAGATTGAGATAAGGCTTAGTCTAAAAGCCCAATGCCAACGAACCAGGTTGCACCACTCACCACTCGACTCCACGTGTTTGCAAAAAGGCACACCCTTGGGTCGATCCGACCTCTTTTTTTGCGGGCAAACTCTTGAGGCAGAGGTTGCTATTATCCGCCTGAATTGGGCCGGTCTTGCTTGCGGGTCCCCAATTTGGAGGGTTTTCTCTGGAAAACCAAGGGAAACCACCCATGGGTACTTTGGCTTTCGTTTTGGTTTCCGTTTAAAACCACCAAACAGGGGGGCAACCCGGGAAAATGACAGACCCATATAACCACCATTGTTTACCGTTCAGGATTGTCATCTAGATTGGGTAATAAGTCCATTCTTTTGATGGGGGGTTGAACCTGAGGGTTCAGGTGTCAGATCATGTTTTGCAGTTTCTTTATTGGGGATCCTTTTCTGCAGAATTCACCTGCGTCCTGTAGAAATGTTGCTGGTTTCCAAGACTAACTCTTGAAAACACTGGAGACACTCCAGATGGGCAAAATCCTGCGCCAGTTGGGATGTGTGATTCACCTGTGAATACTCAGATGAACCACCAATCTGGTGCAAAATTTTGTCCATCCACACACTTGCGCTCCTACATTCAACTTTCCGCAAGACGCTCGCGCCGTGCCGCATGTCGCCATCAAGCGCGCCGTGCGGCGCCAGACGAGCCCTTTAATTTGTGCATGTATTTGTAGTTTTGTGTTTCCATTCCATTGCAGTTCTATCATTTTACCCTTTGTTCCTTGGTGCCCATGAGATTCTAAATCGGTTTCACTCGTGTGTTTTTCCACAAACACATGTTGCCACTGCCCACAAAGGCAGCCCTCATGTGCATGCAGCATAAATCATCATCAAGGCTGTCCGGCATATTTTGCACTCGAGGTGCCCTTTCAAAGGAGTTGTCAGGTTGGATATGAAGTTCTTGGGCAAGCAAGACGTGACCTGGACCGATTCCATCCCCGCACATAGCCGAGCAGAGCTCCTTTGGTTGATGTTAACCCCAGATTAACAATTAACCCCATCCTGCTAATAGGAGAGTGTGCCCCTCCAAAAGTAACGAATCCCCACTAAAGTAAGGGGCACCGCCTTTTACTAAAGAGGGCTTTATTTAATCCGGGGTCAAATTGGATTGTTTACCTTTTGTCGGAGTCTCACCTTTCATGCGCGACAGGCGGACGCTTCAATCAGTCTAGCCTCTGCTAGCGCCGTTTGTATCCCTTTTGGGAAGGGATCAAAGTGCAAAGTTTCCTCGTGTTCAATGATACTTCACTGTTCTTGGATCATGTGTTTTTTGTTTTTTGGTTCTGTTCATTTTTTACTGGAGGTCTGCAAAAAGCAAAGTTTTTTGCTACCATACCAAGAGTAGAGATGTCAACCACTTCAAGGGTCCTCTCAATCGACCTCTTGACCTGGTCGAGTTGGTTCATGTTGAGTCATGTGTCCCAACCAGTTCACCTCATATATTCAGCTCCCTGAAGCGAGGGCAGCTATGCCATGGCGTCCTTCGAAGTGGAAGACCTGCTTTGGGTGTCCTGCCCACACCGGGTTTGGCGCCCTGGTCGTGTGATCGACGAGGGCGAGGGCCTGCTGCTGCAACTGGAGCCGGAAGACGAAGAGGACTCGCAGTGCCAGCTCCTTCCATTTGCGTTTGGTCCCCCAGTACTGCCCTCTCTTCCCCTTTTTGGGGGGAGGGTTCCCCTACAATAGACGTCCTGAAAAAAGGTGGTACCCCTATTTTAACCTCTCTACTGGAGGACCTAGTGCTTAAGAATATGAGAAATATGTCCCTTTGTGGTTTCAAAGGGAATCTATCACTACGGGCTATACTATATATATATATAATTATATTTCTATTTTTGCTAGGGGGTAAAAAAGCAAATGGAAGGCTCTGTTTCGCCATGGACATCCACCAGGCTTGTGGGATCAAGGGGTTTGTCTCCACTTCTGTGATACAAGGGAATCTCTTCTTTATATGGGGGGTTGGTCTTTGGGAAGCCCTTTTTGTTGTATGACGGAAGTGGTAATTTCACATAGCCTGAAATCCACTGATGGAGAGTAAGTGGTTCGCCGGGGTTATATCCCACCAAGGTCTCCACTGAACGGGGACTCTTGAAGCGGGGTATCACCTAGTCCGACAACTTGCGAATCGCTCACGCGAATCGAACGCCCAAGTACCCCCCAACGGTGTTTTTGGTTTTTCCCATGTCCAAAATCCCAACGGGAACCAAGAAGCAGTTCAATTAGGTGGTGGAATGAAGCTAGGTCCCCCAGTAGTGCCCTCTCTTCCCCTTTTTGGGGGGAGGGTTCCCCTACTAAGATAGACTACAGAAAAAAGGGTACCGTTTGTCTAACCTCTCTACTGGAGGACCTAGTTAAGAACATGTGTTAGGTGGTGGAATTAGGTGGTGGAATTAGGTATAATGGCTGTTTTGGCTTGTTATCATCTTTGGCCCAGTTTCAGTTGAGTTGTTTGAAGTGGGATTATACTTGAGTTGTTTGAGTGGAGTTGGGTATGCCTGGAGTCTCCATGACCCTTGAAAAATGGGGTCATTACCCCAATTTTGGGGGTCATTGACGGGTCAGAAGGAGACTCCAGGTAGTTTGTGGATGGACGAAATCCTGCACCACCTAAGAAATCCTGGAATGATGGTTCCCCTGCAAACGCCAACCAACAATGGTTTCCCATGGTTTCAAAGTGGTGCGAAATCGATTTCGTCCATTCACAGTAGGTATGGTTTCACCCAACGGATCCCAACCTACAGAAAAGAAGTTGGTAGCCTTACTCTATCCTCTCAAATCTGGAGGACCTAACTTCCATTTGCTTAAGAATATGTATTATATTTCCTTTGTGGTTTTACAGGGAATCTCTCACTACGGGAATCTATCAATTGAGTTGTTTGAAGTGGGATTATACTTGAGTTGTCTGAGTATGTATGGTTTCACCCAACGCTGTTTTCGTACTTCGAACCCTCCCTTCGCCAAAGCGACAGGAGGAGCCAGCGCCATTGCCTTTGCCCTTGCCACCGAAGCGCCTGCTGCGGCGGAGTCTTGGGCCAGACTGAGGGGGGCGTTTGGATGGGGCTGCTTTGCTTCCCCTGCTTCCGGTTGTTTACCTTACCAGCGTGTGGAGATACCTCGGACTCCAACACCAAGAGGTTGGTGATTGAAAGTCACATCCTCATTACCTCTGGATGGTTTCTAGGTCCCCCAGCTAGGTGCCCTTTCTCACCCTTTTTTTTGGGGAGGGTTCACCTAAAATAGACTACAGAAAAAGAAAAAATAATAAATAATTAAAAACTCGGAAAAAAAATAGAAAAAAACAGATCGGGTACCAACTTCTTCTATCCTCTCAAACCTGGAGGACCTAGCCCTGCTTCTGGGGCTTCAAACGTGTCAACTTTACAGCGGTTTCTATGTTTCCCGTTTTGGTCTGAAACCTTGTCTTGCGGTTGCCAAAAGAAAATAAGTTTCCGTTTGAGGCGATGCTTAAGAGGGACATGTAGGGAGCGCGGTTTGAGATGCTTGGCTTCCTTGTGGTATCCAAAAGGGATCAAAAGCGATCCAAGCTTGAGACATCGCCAGACGCGTTAAACAAGGAAGAATTGTTATGTTGTCTTAGTCAGAGGCAAGCACAGAAAAGATCTTCAGACCCCTATAGGTAAACAGCACACCATCGGCCCTTCTTTCCTCGCATGTCCATCACGCCTCCTGAGAAACCAGCCAGCAAGTGTTCCAATATGTCAGGAATCCGTTTGCATGTGGTGCGTGCATTTTTCCCACAAGCCACAGGAATGGGGGGTCCTGTGGAGTCAAAAAGAGCTGACAATTCCGCCCCCTTTTCTATGCTGCATGTTCCTTTACTACCAGCCGTTCGAACTCGGGGGTTCCTGCTTTTGGAAACATCAGAGGCCGAGAAGACTGCTTTGCACTCTGTTTATATGGTTTATATGTCCAGTGGTGCCCTGTTTCCTTTGTTTTCCGTTGACACCAACTACCCAAAGATTCAATCAACTGTGCCCTTTTTCTCCCATGGCCACTGGGGGTTTTGGGCTTTGTTCAGTCAAGGAACGTGGTGTTGCTCGGAGAGGGCGCGCTGAGCATTTCGGCAGCACAGGGGTTCTGCTTGGAGTCTCCATGACCCTTCACAAATGTGCCCAGTGCTTGCAGCTACCTACCAGTTTCTCTATATAGGTAGCCAGGAGAAACCATCATGTAAAACCTAGAGGTAAGGATCCCTGGTTGCCTACTATAGTGGTAACTGGAAGCACTGGGGTGTTCTTCCACCCAAAGTCGAGCGTCACGACCTTGTCAGAAGGAGACTCCAGGTGCAAGCGCCTCTCCCGGGTTCCCTTGGACCCACCAGATGATGAGCATAGTCCCAGCCATCCCCTTAGCCTGTTAGCTTTTTAGTCTTTAATGGTAGTTTCCATGTAACCCACTAAAAGTTAAACTTTTAACGGGGATCTGAGAGCGGCCCAGACGCAAGGAAAGATAAAGAGACATCCTCCGGGGATGTCGCAGGGACCCTTCCAAATCTGGTTTCCATCTTAGAGATGCTTGTTAGCTTCGGCACACATCTTGGGCCTGTTTGAGGCTGGAATTCGATATACCCTCGTTTTAAAAAGGAACCCTCCCGACCCTACCCAGAGTTGGCATTTGGCCCGCTTTGGCAGCCAAAAGAAAGTTGTTTAAGCAATACAAGTTCAGTATAAGGGGTCCGAAAAAAAAAAAAAAAAAAAAAAAAAAAAAAAAAAAAAAAAAAAAAGGCCAACTTACATACCCCAAACGAACAGACCCTTATAATAAGGATTGTTTTTGGGTCATATAGGGATGGCCTTCTACGCTTCCTCAAAGAACGGGACATCCAAGGCTGTCCATATGGGAACTCATGGCCATTTGGGACCCTTGGTCTGATTTCCCATCAAGCCAGAACTAGCGGTAAGTTAAGCCATAAACAAGGGCTTCATACCAACAGATTATATATATATATATAAATTAAATGCATATATATATATACATATATTGTATCCCCTCCCCCCAAAATAAAAGCAAAAAAGGAAAGAAAAGAACTGGAACAGGGTCTGGCATTTGGGGGGGTACCCTATATATATTCCAGGCCATGAACCCCCCCTTCCCCTTCCCCACCCCTCCCCCCCCCCCGGTGGGAGGATACCTTGAGCCTTTCCCGCGCCCAGCGAAAACTTTTTTTCTGAGGATATGACAACCTCACGGAGGTCCCGGAGCTCCATGAGGCTGCCGTGCTGCATGCGCTGGACGTGCGCTTCGCCCACCAGCAGACGCCCGGAGAGCGAACGCGCCGCGTGACCCACGTGCTCAAAACGGGTAGATGAAGGTCCAAAAAAGGATATACCAAGGGGAGAGGCCAGAAAAAGGATGGAGGTTGAGTCCCGGGTAGATGAAGGTTAGTAAGGGACAATCCCAACCATAAATAGGCGCGGATATCCGCCTTCTTAATTCTTGAAGCATGGCGTTGGGTAGACCATTTTGATACCGGGTTTTGATTTTGACTCACGTGTTTCCCGCGATTCCGTCGGCTGGGGGCGCGCTGGGCGCCAAGCGCTGAAAATAGCTCCGGCTGGAAGCCCAAAAACGTGGGTTTCCGGGTCGATGTTCCTTGGTGGATCCTCCAGTAGCAGTTTCAACGGCTAGAAGCCATGGGATAATAGATGGCCCGGTCTAAAGCAGTACCCATCGATTTGCAGCATCAGCGTTCCCAGTACCTCCAATTGCCACTATGGTAGGGAAGGATGTTCTTACCTCTATGCTTTACATCATGGTGTCCCCTCGTTGCCTACCTGAATGATAATTGGAAGCACCGGGCTTTGTTGAAATGGAAACCCAGAGGAAAACTATCCCAGCAGCCTCGTTCCTGTTGTTTGTGCGGCCAGTGCCAAACTTGGCTAGCCTTTCTCGCTCTTTTAGCCTGGAGTTCCTTCACTTTCCCTTTTAACCAGTTTAATGTGTTCGCGGTTTATGTTTGGCCAAGTTGTGTGTGTGTGCGTGTGTTGTTTGTTTCAATTCTTCCTGAGATAACTCAAAGCTTTAGGATTTTTCAATATGGGTTTGTCTCAAAATAGGGGAACCCCCAAAACAGGTGGGCTGAAACAACCCCGCGCCTTTTCGTTATGCAAGGGGCCGTCCCTTAACTTGTTTCGCAGGCCAAAACCATTGTAAACCGATACAGAGGAGGAAAAACATAATAGAAAACGATACCCCCAGAAGCCATTAAGACACACATCAGGTCCAAGTTGTTGTCGCAAGCCAAGATTGCGGAATCATAAATTTGCAGGGCCCAAACCGATACCCAAACCGATACCCAACCGATACCCAACTCATTGGCCATCCAACCAGCTGCCCTGCAGCCTTCCCCAGCTGGAACTGCCAAAATGTACTTTGCGTACTACACTTGTACTGAAAAGTCGCGACTTTCCAGCTGGAGTTGGGAGCTGGCAGAGCGTACTTCGCATACTACACTTGTACGGAAAAGTCACGACTTTCGAGCTAGAGCTGCCAAAGCACTGCAAACCGACGCAGAGGAAAAAAAACGATACTGGCCGATACTAGGGCATAAGGATACAAGGGTTGTCCACGGGGTTGTTTTTCAACCCAGTTGGTTTCAGTCTATTCTCCCTTGAGCCCCCCCTCCCGTCTCCCCACCCAAAAACAGAAAGATCACCTCAAAAACGACAAAAAAACCGGAGGTTGCGCCACGGCAGAGTGCGCCAAAAACGCGCCATAGAATGGGATCCCTAGCCTGGCCACGGCCATGGATGCCATCTGCCTCTTTGAATCGGCGAGCTCACCGATTCAGGGGGTAAAAATGATCCGGGGAAAAAAGGAGAAAAAACAAACCACAAAAAATCATGGAGACAGGTCCTGAACTTGGCTCCCGAAACTTTTAGTGGGGGATTTCAGGGCAGCCCAGTTGACTCAGCTTTTGGAATTGTGGTGAAGTGGGCAATTTCAATAAGTTACCCCTGTTCTTGGTCGATGTTTATAGGAACAGAGGAGCAAACGAAGGTAATGTTGCTCGGGTCAACCTTACTTGCCCTGTGACGCCATTTAGAAGAAGCACCCTTGGTTGTGTTGTAAACATGGTCTGAGCAAAAGTTACCGCCAGTGGACAGCGTGAAATCTTCACAGTGTTGGCACGTTTTGAGGTTTTGTGTTTCTGACTGCTCAGTTTTAGTAGGAGGCTGCGAAACAGAAAGTGTGTTTCGACCACACCAATATTGGAAAGTAATATTGCAGTTGGATAGCCCGAAAGGTTGGTGTTTGTTTGGTCTCCCATAGGTGACTTGCCTTCCGAGTCCGTGTCCACTGTGCATGGGGATTCGGAGGACTTCGGTTTTTTGGGATTTCCTCGAAGCCCTCAAGCAGGTTGTGCTAGAACCTGCTGAGTTCCCTCAAGTACCTTGTAAAAATTGGGTCGATGACCCCAACATTTGGGGCAATGACCCCATTTTTCAAGGGGCATGGAGACTCCAGGTCGACATTTTCTTGTACTTATGAGTGGGCTATAGCCCAGATGGCCAACTACCAACTTGGCAACGAACATCCAAGTGCCCCTAAAGACTGAACACACGCCCATTTTACTTGGTGGCTCCCAGCCATCCCCTTAGCTTTTTAGCCTTTTAGTGTTTCGTGGTAGTTTCCATTTAAGCACTTAAGGTTAGTCACTTTTAGCGGGGGATCTGAGAGCAGCCCAGATAAGGACACCCAAGTCGGGGGACTCAACCGAGGATCTACACGCTGACGGGGCCAGTGCTGCTGGCGGTAAACCCCTTTCGCAGTTTGCCCTTGTACGGTCAGGCAGGGTGAAGCGAGGGAGTCGTCCCCAGGGTTCCACTTTTTAACCCCAGGGCAGACGTAAACCCGGTGGTTCATTTCCCCCAAAGGGGGGACCCTGGGCAGACAAGTCTGTCGGGAAGTCAAGAAGTAAAAACCCTGGTCATCCCAAGGTGATTTGCACCGGTGTGGAGCTTGGGGCTTTGTTTTTTACCCTTTACAAGAACCAGGGGCTCCAACGCCCCGCACCAATTAAATCCACCACCCACCTCGTTCCCTCAGTCTCAAAATGGGGTGGCCCTCAGCCCCCCCACCCCCTCCCCCCCGCACCCGACTCGAACAGCACTTTGATGTCTGCGGGAATTGATTTTGTGAAGGGCTCAAGCAATTTGTTAGGATGTACAAGATGACCACTTTGAGCTCCATCCTTTGGCAAGGGTCCACTAGAGCCCACAACTAACACATCAAGCACAAGGCGTGGAAACTATGGATCAAAATGTTCAACAGAAACAAAGTCTCCGAGCTTTCTTAAGCATCCTCAACAACACCACATAAACTACATAAACAAGAAACACCGCGTAAACCACATAAACCATACTCATGTTTGACAACACCCCCCCCCCCACAACAGGAAACAATGGTTTTAACGAGCTCACGAATGAAGGTTCCTTGTTTGGGGCACTCCACTCTTTCTTGGTGGGTAAATCAGCTGATTCTCTGAATGCGGTTCCCAGCCGTCCTCTTTGGTGTTTGGGTGTTTGAGGGGATTCAGTGGGGTTCCATTTAACCCAAAAACTAAACTTTTGGAAGGGGATCGGAAAGGGACAGGCGAGCTCTGAACGAATGTAAGGAGAAACGAGCGCAAGCCGATGATGGCAAATTCTAGATGCCTTAGTTGCTACAAGTCACAAGGAGCCCCCCCTTTTTTCAGAATTCCACGAAGACTTGACCTTGCAAGCATGGTTGTACCGGTTCAGGTACGCATTGAACGTAGCCGGTGTCACATACCACCGCGGGTGCGCATCGGCTCCCAGATTGCCCCGCATCGCCTGGCCCCTGACGTTTAGAAGGCTTCGGTTTGTGCAGGGCTCCTTAAAACAAATTCATTTTGCAACAATTTGAAACATGTTGCTTCTTCAACACCAACATAAAGGGAAACCACTATTGACAAGGCAATGTTCAGGTGTAGAATGTAATATCGGTTGTGAGTTTGCCCTGATTTTTTCACTCACAGATGTCTCGTGTGGCCAGCTCCACGCGGTGTTGTTTCATTGCCACGCAGTTGACTTACCTTGCCTTCAGGGGGTCTCCAAAACTATGTAGCTGGTTCATGGTTTAGGGAAGAAGTAAGCAGAATCTTGGAGGTTCCCTTCCGTCCCCCTCAGAGTAGACTTAGGTTTAGTGGTAGTTTCCATTCCACCCAAAAGTTTTCCGCTTTTAGCATAGGATCTGAGGGCGGCCCAGTCGAAACAGACAGTATCATTTTCCAGCGCACCCCAGATGTGAGCCAAGTTTTTTTGGGGGCTCGTTCATGTTATCAGCGCAAAACCCCATCTTTTCGCAGCTCAGATCCGTTTTCGTCGAGTCAGGACGCGCTGCGGAGCTTCGCGGCACGGCAGGTGGGCGTCGCTGCGGCGCCGAAGCCCCACGTCTTTGGCATCGCGGCAAAGGCGTTAGAAGGCGCCGGAGAGATCTTTCGACATCCGACCTTCCATTGGCTGAAACGTGTTTTTGTTTATATATATATATATGTATTCATTGTGATTGTTAGTATATATCATTATTGTTATTACTACTATCGTTGTAGTTGTTATTACTATTATGATGTTCCCTTGTTGGTTTTACAGGGATTCAATTTTACTACTGGACACATTTTCTCACTTTTTCCGGGCGGCGAAAAAGCAAATGGAAGCGACTCATCCACCAACACGACCCACACGGTCCATGTTCGTGGTGAAACATGCAGCAAACAAGAGGAGTTGTAACAGGGCCCGAAAGCGGGCCTGAAAAGCGGGTTGCAACTTAGGTTACTAACGGCATATTACCCATATGCGGTTGAATCCTTAGGTATTGCAAGTAGGAATCAAGGGACAATTCTGCATATTTCAATGTTTTGGTCGGTTCACTTGCCAAGTTTGGGAATCGATACCTCGGGTGCCTCCTTACTTCCAGTTTGGAGAAGGCGATCGATCTGCGTACGTGTGTTTTGCGGATTTTGCAGTTTGTTGTTTCCCGGACCAAAGGCCATACGGGGTCGCATGTTTCATAAGGATCCAAGTACATTCTAAGGATGTAAGTTGGGTGAGACTGGATCAAAATACAATTTCACAAGGTACTTGCGACGTGGGTTTCACAAGGCAACAATGTAGTCGCATGCCATAGCCCTTTGCATGCTCTCAGACGTGACCTCTGAAGGTTCAACAATTTGTGTTTCCTTTATGTCCGTTTCACTGGGCTGTTCAAAGCCAATCCCCTTGATCCTTACCTTTAGTTATGCAAGTGGCTTCCCTACATTTTGCGATGGTTTATCTTGGCCTATTCAGCGCCTTAGTCCAAAACCAGGGTGTTTGACCATGTTTAAACCATTGCTTAAAGATGCATGAGGCATTGTTTGAGTATCAGGTAACCTTTAGCTGGTTTGGGGGTTGGAAGCCCCGGTTTTCGTGGATCAACTGGGAAACCACCCCAAACCTAACCACCAATCCGCCTTTTTCGGGGGAAGCTGAGACTGGGACCGCTTTTTTTTTTTATTGTTTCTTGCCGCCTGTTTTCCCTTTCAAGGGGAAGAGGACCGCACCTTTGCCTCGTCCCCCCTCTCGGTTGTCAGTCGGCCCGGAGCCCGCAGAAACGAGTCCTTTGCCAGGCATCCGGGAGCGCTACGAGTCCCAAACGGTTCTTATCAGCACCTCGGTGTTCAAAACGCTCTTTCCCGGGACTCCACCTATTGATGGTCAATATATGTTCTAGGTATAGTTTCCACCAGAACTAAACTATGGGCATATGTTATAGTTGGTGCATTATGGCTATATGAATATGGACGGTTGCGTGGTCTAGCCTCCTCCAGAAGTGTTAGGATTCACGGAATAGAACGCAGAAGCCAACCATATGATTTTCGGTGCACCCCTGTGAGCCAAGCGGATCTGGTGGTTCTCTTTTGTTTGATTTCCTCAGGCTCTGGGGTCTTTGTGACGCCAGCCCGGAGAGATCGACGGGAGAACCCCTGAAAACACGAAAACCAAGCATGTCTTGCTGCGATGGGGCAAACCCCTTGGGCTGTGAATTCAGCGATAAGACTATGTCCCCCAGCGAGGTGCCCTTTCTCACCCCTTTTTTGGGGGGAGGGTTCCCCTACTAAAAATAGACTACTTCTTCTAACCGCTCTACTGGAGGACCTAGAAGAACTCGCCCAGTTTGTTTTTCAAGTTTTGACCCAGCTCTCTGGCATCCTCCAACGCTTCTGGTTGTGCTCCCCACTTGGGTGTCGGATGCGCCAAGTTAGCAAAAGTTTGACCCCATATCAAGTAAACGCAGGTTGTCATAGGGGGGCGTTCCTGGGTGAAATGTGGGGAATCATCACGTGTTTGAGGGGAACACCCCTCTGCGAATGAACTGGGGTTGATTAATATGGGGTCAACATTAAGTTGTTAGTACTCCATTTTGACTGCACACTTGTACATCCCCCGTTCAGCGGAGTTGAAATGTTATTAGTGGGTCGTGCGCGGCTGAGATTTGGACAACAGGTTTTGAGTTGTCCGTTGTCTTCCTGCGAGAAGAATTCTTTCTCAAAGGCCTGGCAAAAAGAAAGATACCTCCTACCCTTCAGCAGGACTTACTTGCTTTGCGCGTTGTGGACATATGGTGTTAGGGGCAACGCGCCACATCTTTGATTCTTCTTATGGCAATTCACTCAGGACACGGGTACTTCATCTCTCCATCCTTTTCAAGTGCTCCGTCATTTTGTCCAGTGATACTTGCAATATGTCATGTGTGTTCCCTGCTTGGTTAGCGAAATTTAAGAATGAACCAGAAACACACCTTGTTTTTTTGGGGTTGGGGGCAACGACATCGTTTTACCGTTCCCCCCAAGAGAAAAACAGTGATTTGGATTGGTGAATTGGAGGCTTTTGTCCAGCTTCTCACCTCAACAGGAACCATAGCTTGAAAGCCCCGAAACGATCCAAAGCACCCATTGAGGCTTACCTACATAGCGGTGAGGAAATCATGGCGAAAAACTGAATCCCCTCGTGGCGTCCAGTGAGCTCCATGGGTAAGCTGAACTGAGCCAGGTTTTTGGGACTCGCTCGTCTCCGACTCCCCGCTTCCCCAAAAACCCCGAATCCGTTTTGCGACGAAGCCGAAACGACGAAGCCGAGGCGGCGAGAGCGGCGCGGGGAAGACGGAGACCACCAAGTTCGTGATGCAGTTCCTCGCCCTGGCCAGCGCCGCTCAGACGCCCAAAACGATTTTCAGCTCCTGGTGGTTAGATCTTAGGTCCCCCGGCTAGGTCGGGCGCCCTTTCTCGCCGTTTCTTTTTTGGTTGGGTGCCATGTTAGAGAGGAGGGTAAGTGGGTGAGTCACTTAAAACCATGACTAGATCCCCCAGTAGTGCCCTTTGACCAACTTTTTTGGTTGGGAGGGTTCCCCTACTAGAATAAACTACAGAAAAAAATGGTACCAACTTAGTCTAAGCTCTCTACTGGAGGACCTAGGGGGGTAGGGAGCCGAAAGGACTCATAGCTGGGGGTATCTAAGGACATGGTAGCTGAGCCCGAAGCTTAAGGTATGAACCAGCATCAAACACGTGGACTTTCTGGGGGGCTTGTCCAAAGCTGTTTGATATGTTCGAGTAGCCTGCGTACGGAGCAGAACTAATATGTGTTGTGTTTTCTTTTCTTTTTTTTCGTGTACCCTTGGTGTGGCCGAGTTTTCAGCCATGAGCACCTGTGAAGGTAAGGCACAGCCGCAACCAGAGGTGCCGTTTTACTCCTTTGCACCTGTCCTTTTCCCATGGGGCCGAGGATAGAAAGGAATTGGCCCAAGATGTCCCAAGCAAAAATGGGCGCATTTATGTTTTTTTTTTTTTGTTTTTTTACATGGTTCTGAGTAGACCATTTTAGAACCAGGTCTTGATTGTGACACAATTTGTTCACTCACCCCTTTTCCCTTGCTTGGTGGGTTGCGCACATTCAGAATGACGCCAATGGAACGGTCCAGATTTTCTACCCATTGGGGCATCCTCAAAAATGGTTGGAGGACACAAATCCCCACGTGTGTATTTTTTGAGGTACTCCTGTTGGGCCTTTGAAGGAAAGCCAAAGGAAAGCCACCATTTATGGGCAGTCCCCTAAAAACGACAGGACCATAATATGTTGTTTGACATCCACGGGGTCCAACAAGAGAATTCATTCTGCGGCCAACTTTCTCATTCAGGAATCCTTCTGTCCAAAGAACACGCCAAAACCAAGCTGCTGGTTATTGAAGGAATAATGTTTCAAACTAATGGACACACCCACGCGGCCCACGCGGCTACAAAACCCTAGACTCAAAAGACTAGCATCCCCAAGCCCCCTTTGTCGGCGTCCTTTTTGGTTTCCTCAAACAAAACTCTGCCCATCAAAAAGCCCCCTAGCAAACTGCATCGAAGAATACTAGCATTCATCTTCCCGACGTCTCACATGGCTCCAACATGGCCCCGACCCGTTGCCGGCTGCTGCTGCGGGGATACCAACACGGGCCCTGATTTTGACACCTCCCTTGGGAGGCAGCCGTTCCGTTTAGCTGCGTGTGTCCAAATGGTTGCTAAAGAGGGAGCCTTTCGGAGCTACCAGCAGCTCTCTAGGCACATGCTAGATGTCCCCTTCCGGAAAAAGATATATTTTAGTTTTGTTTAAAAAACAAAAGAAAAAAGTGCAGGTGTTCCTTTTTGCTTTCCTTTAAACCAACCGCAACATGTTTCCTTTAAACCAACCTCAATGACTCAACAAGGGCACTGTCTCAAAAAAGACCGCCCCTTCCAGCGGCGCTTCGCTCCTGCGCTTCAGGCGGAGCGGCCGGCGGCGTCCGGGCGAAAGGAGTCGAAGCGGACGATGTCGCGGGTGGAGCGCCAGGTCTTGGGGTCCAATCCGCTGCTCGAAGCCTTCGGCGCCTCGGCGCACGGGAGCCATCAGGGCCATCCAGGATTCCTTCCAGCCGCAGGCCCAACTCCCAAATGATGTTCTTCCCTTTGGTTGCCTGGGCTACTTGAAAAACCCAGGGAGGCCGTCGAGTCGGTCGATCCATGAGCTGCTACTTAAAGGGGTACATCAAAAAAGTGGTTGGACAACTATGGTTAGAACCGACTGAACGGAGACTTGCAATGGCTTTAGTGTGACCACTTGCTAAGCAAAACCCAGCAAGCCATCAGGTCATCCGATTCCGTCCAACAGCTCGTTGAGCAAAACGGAAACACCACACGTAAGGGGTTACTAAGGAAACTGATGGTCCCGGGGTCCCTTTTCGGCATTCCGCACTTTGCAAGGGAAGCTCGCTTAGGGCCGTTTTATACATTCGTTTTGTTTGGTTCAAAAGTACACATTTTCTGAAATTCCAGAACCTCCTTGCAAACGTGACACGTTTTTGCCCCCTGGAAGCTATGGGGTCTGGCTCGGCGCGGCATGGTTCGGGCACTCTCGGGTTCCCCACGGGTTCCAGGTGTTGGGGATACCACTTGAGCTGAGTTTGAAGAGTTCGAGGTGAATTGGAGAGCGCACCTATTTGTTGGACATTAGGGAACCTTCGGACGACTCTACTGTTGACCCCATATCAATCAACCCCAGTAGATTAGTAAGGGCTCCAAAAGTGATGATTTTTCTCTCTCCCTGCTCAAGTGTTCTCCTGTTTTGGGAGTTTAGCCTGCAAACCCAAGCTGCAGTTTTAAGACGCCTTGCAAGACTACTTGAAAAGGGGCCTGGAGTTGACGCTTTTTTGAAAATGTATCCCAGGCAGTTGGAAATGTCTTCTGCGTCGCATTGACACGCCATTCATCGGAAAACTGCCCCGCTTCCCATTGGCGGAGACGTGTCTTTGGGCTTGGGTCCCAAAGTCAATCCCAACCTCTTGTAAATGAAAGTGGGGCAGGGGGAGTGACCCTTGGAGATCTCCATTTACGCTTCCAATGTCCGCGGGGAAGAGCAACAAAAAATCCATTGGCACCTGGACCCCGCCGAAATCCCTTCCTCCCTATTCAGGTGGGGACATCAGCTAGGTCCCCCAGCTAGGTGCCCTTTTTACCAACTTTGGGGGGAGGGTTCCCCTACTAAAATAGACGAAACCGAAGCAAGCTGGTAATTCGAACCTTTTAAATCTGGAGGACCCCCATCAAAGCTGGGGGCATCAGTCTAGGTCCCCCAGCGAAAGGGTGCCCTTTCTCACCGTTTCTTTTTTGGTTGAGGGTTCCCCCGAGGGCAAAGGGGCACTATTGGGGGACCTAGCCAAGGCAATGCCCAGACGCTGCGCAACGACAACAGCTCCCGCTTCGGGAAGTACATCGAGCTCCACTTCGCTCGCCCAGCGCAGCTGGGAGACGACGTGCCCAACCCCAAGCTGAGCGGCGCGCGGATTCGCCGCCTGTCACCGGGAAGCGGCAGAACTTGTTCCCAGCGATTGGGGCGAACTATCCCCACCCCCTAAAAAATGGAATTGGGGAGGGGGGTGACCCTGCAATTCCATTTGTGGTTCCATTTTCCCTTTTAGGGGGAAGGCTAGATAAACGGAATTGGGGACCCCCCACCCCCGTCCTGAAGGTAGGGGGGATGCAGAACTTGTTCCCAGCGAGGGCAATGCGTGCCGGTCAGGTGCTTTTAGGTGGCTTGGGATGGTTATCAGCAATCACGGACTTCAGCAACCGAACCAGGATCGTGAGCCAAACGAGGAGTGTTGACATAACATGAGACATGCCCCGGGCCCCTCGTTGCCTGTGTGCAAGGTGTTTTGAAAATGACAGGATGAAACCAATAATTCGGAATAGTTTGACAATTTGAAGCTGCCGGCGTTGCTTTGCGTTCTGACCCCAGAAGATATTCTTTGGTGGCAACACACACCAAGAAATGCTAAGCTGAGTCGGTCAGCTTGTATGTCTCAAACTACTGCTAGAGATCCCCTTCTTGTATACAAGAATGCCAAAGGTATTGGTCCCCAATTTGGAGAAGCGCCCAATTGGGGTGTGTCGATTCGTTTTTGGGAGGCAATTGTCCATAGCAAACCGAGTCAGCCAGCGGGCAGACTCAGTCAGTCAGTCAGTCAATCAGTCAGTCAGTCAGTCAGTCAGTCAGTCAGTCAGTCAGTCAGTCAGTCAGTCAGTCAGTCAGTCAGTCAGTCAGTCAGTCAGTCAGTCATGCAAGGTTGGAGGAATGACTACCTCGCGGGTTCAACATCTCAACATTGTGGACATCCTGCATGTTGTAGGTCCTTTGCTTGAAGACCCTTATTTTAGATTTGGGGGTGTCGTTTTTAGCGGTTTCCTCTTGGTTTCGTGTTCAAACAACAGCAAGCAAGGGGGCCCGCATTTGAACAACCCCATTCGGACGCCGTGGCTTTGGGAAAACAAGAACAAATGCAACGCCATGCGCGCCGGGGGTTTGCGACGTCACTCACTTACTTCTTGCGCAAAGCGGACCGACAGCGACCGCAAAGGAACCTACTTGCTCGAGAAGGTCAGGGTCATTCGGCAGTCAGAGGCCCACCGCGTGGATGACGACAAAAACATGCTGGTGCAATAGGTAGGGAATCCAAGGTGCTGGGAATGAACCAGAAGGGGGTTCCCTGAAAGGATTGCTGGCGTCCAAGGTTGGTTGAATGAAACACATCGACACTGCTGATCTGCCCAGGAAATCGGCATGTCTTCTTTCAGAATCTGTACTCCTTGTCAGGTTGTTCTACGTCGCAACCAGTAGGATACCCGCCAATTTGAGTGTGTCCCACCCCAAAATGAGCATGTCGGCTCATGAGTTGGCTGCTTTCCCATGCGTGTCAGCCCAGCAGACCCCAGTGACCCCAGAAAAGGAACCCCACGAACCCGAGCCCCTTTTTTGGTCGCCGCGTGCTCAGCTGCGGGAATTGGGGAATCGGCCCTGTTGTCGGGGGGGCCCTTGACAATAGGATGCGTGCATTGTGTTCGACTCTTGATGGAGGAAATCCTGCAGTTGGTAGGTAGCTTATTTTTTTTTATCTTTTCCAGCTGCAGGGTTTGTCCCTCAGCACTTGGTGGCTCCCAGCCATCCCCTTAGCCTTTTAGCTTTTTAGTGTTTAGTGGTAGTTTCCATTTAACCGACTAAAAGTTGTCCACTTTTAGCGGGGGATCAGAAATCGGGCAGCCCAGAGCATGTTGTATTCCAAAACCGAAGGTTTGGTGGAGCGAGGTTGCTGACGTCAGAGACCGTGGCCATGACCTGGCAAGACTTGAGCTTCCCATGCAAGTTGTCTCCACAGCAATTTGCTAGACTACCCCACCTCCAAACAACCAATCCAACCCAACCAGAGGGAAGCCGAGTAAACTTAGTTTTGCTTCAGCAGGCTTGCATGTTTGGATGTGCATGATCCTACCGGGGGCTATCCATGCGCTTTTCCCTCACTTCCTGCGTTCCTGAACTTTGGGCTTCTTGGGAAGACCATTTTAGTCGTAAATGCAAAGTAGTAGGGCCTGTTTTGGATGTCATTGCGAGGTCCGCAAACGTGTCCTCGGCAAGACGTCCATAGTCGAACCACGTTGGTAGGGACATCAAGCCCTGAGTAGGGCTAGGCATCCATCCCAAGGGTTTCTTGGAAGAGAACCATGACCCATGAACCAAAGGCCAAAAGCAGTGGAACCTCTTAGCAGTCGAAAGTGCTTAGTAAGCCCGGTTACAGCCCACTGAAGGGAGACAAACATCGACCATGGCTTTTGTGGTTATCTCATGGTTATTCACCACTTACCTGACGCACCAGCTGCCCCTCTAAGTTTGGTTTCCCTTGAAACCACTAACTCCCCCCCAGTTACTAATAGGCTGTAGGTCCAAAAAAGGGTAAGCCCGAAATGCGTTGCCCTGGTTCGTGGGAACATGGACTCAAACCTGCGCTTGCCCGGCAGGGGGAGCGGAGCTTCCACGTCTTCTACCAGGCCTTGGCAGCGGCGGCAAATGGCGGCGATCAGCTGGAAGGATTCCAATTTCCCCCCGCCGCCCGGCGAAGAAAGCGAGTGGTCATCGATATCGGGAGGGGGGGGGAAGCATGGTGAAGAAATTCGCGACTTCGGCGGGTCATGACACCGGCTGGTCATTGCGAGGGGGGGGGGGTGGATGGTGGAGACTGAAGGGGTCTATTTTGTTCTTTAGGGTATTTGTTTTAGGGTTCTTGGCTGCAAAATCGACTCTAAGTGTCCATGGCACCCAGGGGGGGAAGCCCAAAAAGAGCGATCAAACCAGAATTTGTGGCCACCTCATGGGCTGGTAGTTTGAAGTCGACAGGTCAGAGCCACTCGCAACGGGAGCCATTGCAGATTGACCATCTGTGATCAACATGGACTTGTCATGTCTCCACTTGCCTGAAGCAGTCTTGGAGCGAAAGCAGCAAAATGCGAAACATCCCCCCTTTGTAAGGGCCACCAGAATGCGTTTTCAAGATAGTCGACACCAGCGGTTGGTTTAAAAACTAGACGCAAAAAGTCACAACCCATCTTAATGGATATCAGTTCCCCGCATGATTCGGAGAAAAATGGGGGGCACTTTCTGTGCTAGAGGGTCCAAGTACCGGGTCCAAGCATGGCTTTGGGTCTGAAAAGGGATAAAGTACCTTCTTACATTCCCATGGAAATATCCCACAAGAGCCATGGTTATAAGTCTCCTTGGGTTTTAACCAGGCTTACAAACCACTTGCCCGAAGTACCGAATCCATCGCCCCTTTAAGCAGGTACCTGGGCGTCGAAACGGGGGCGTCCGCTCGAAACCGCCGCTTGCGTTGATTCTTGTCCCAAAAAAACACCAAGAATGAGTAGGGTACAAAAATGATGGAAGAAAGTTACCAATTCTCACCAAGCATCTTCTGTACTGCATGGTTGTAGATGTTTTTTACAAATGTTTTGATTTCAGAAATTCCGGCCGAGGACTCCTTTAAGTACTTGCGCCACGACCAGGCCTCCTCTTTTCACGGCCGGGGAGAGCCGTCTCGCGGCTCGCATGCGGTCACTTGGGATGGTTTTTTCTGAGGGGGCCGCGCCAAATGGTGGGTTCTCCGGTTGGTTTCCCTTGAAAACCACCGAAAAAGGTGCCCTCAAAAACAAGACACCTCCAAATGCAGAACCCCATAAGTGGAGACTGTTCCCCTTTTGAAGTTTCGTTTCAGAACCATTCCAAAAAGGGTAGCCTCAAAAAACACGACACGCCCATGTGTGATGGATCGGTGATTTGGATTGGGACCATTCAAGTACCATCCCCCAGTACTGAAAGGAGGGGGCGTACCCCTTCGAGGGGGGAGGCAGGAGTGTACACTTTGTGAGGGAAAGCCAAAACATCAATTTGAACCATGTTAATATTATTTGTTTGGGGCATCTCTTTTTGCGCCATGTGCATAAACCTCTTTGTTTTTCTGGAGGGCAGCACTTCTCCGCACGCCCTTTTAACCCAAAACGGCGCAGGCAAAGGCGGCGGAGGATCTCCAGCAGTACGAGGTCGGGTCCGTTTTTGGGGGGGTTGGGGTTGTTTTTGTCTTTCGTTTCGGTGTTTCGGTCCCAAAATGTATTTTGACATACACATGTAGGTGTGCCCGTTTTTTGTTGAATGGGTTCTCATTGCGTAGGTATTCCAGTCCTTGGTTCCATTTACCAGGGCAACCCATTTTGGGGTTGCGCTATTTGTGACCCACAGCCATTTGGCGTTGTTTTGTGCGTTTGTTCGTTGTTTTTGTTGGATGGGCAGGGGTTGTGTTTGCTGGAGGTGAGTATTTCTTTTTGGCTTTGTGGTCATGTGTTGGCGAGTGTTGTTATGTTGGTTGTTGTGTTTTGGTTAAGGACAACTGTCATGATCTTCAAACATATGCTTATGTACATGGGTACATGTATGTGTTTACATATACACAGGGATACCTCAAGCAACTGGAAGTGATGGCCATATTGGTTTAGAGGTGATCCGGCACGTTCTCGGCGGCTGAAGGCCGTCCCCTGTTCAAGTGTCAGCTTGATTGATCATCTCAAGCAAGTCAACAAGATGTCGATTGAAGTATATGGGGGGGTTATGTAAGTGTGTATGTGTGTGTTTCTCTGTGTGTGTGTGTGTGGGTGCGTGTGGGTGCGTGTGGGTGCGTGTGGGTGTGTGTGTGTGTGGGTGCCTGTGGGTGTGTGTGTGTGTGTGTGGGTGCCTGTGGGGGCGTGTGTGGGCGTGTGTGTGGGTGTGTGTGGGTGTGTGTGTGTGTGAGGGAGTTTGAGGGACCTTTGTTTGTCCACTTTTTGTTTTTGTTTTTGTTTGTTTTACGTGGGTTTTATGTGGGTATCAACTCTCCTGGTTGATCTCCACGAGCACATCTACACATTCCAAAGCCACAATTTCCTGCGAGCATGCCCAAATGGTTTGTGTCAAAATAGAGAACCAAAGAAGGTAGTCATTAAAACCAATCAAAACAAGGGTACCCTCAACAAAAACATGCACACAAACAAAATACCCAACAAACCTTCATTGACACGAACATGAAAGTTGCTGCAATTCCCTTTACCAGTATCGCAGGGGTGTTGAAACCCAAATAGGGGACGTTGCAGCATTTGAAGGCGAGGCCACCACCCATTTTCAGTTGGTCGTGTGCTATTTTTTAGGGAAGCCAACCGTGTTGATGAAACAAATAGGTGGTTTTTCCCTTTCCAGGTTAGCTTTTGCGGCTAGGATCCTTTCTTTTTGACTTCCTGCCATCATTTTCCCGAGCAAAACGCCCATTTGCGGGTCTCTAAAATGGGCTCCACCACCCCCAAACCACGACCCCCATCATAAATTGGGATATGTACGCTTTTCCTAGTGGCTATATTGTGGCTGTACAACCCCTTAGGAGTAGCTTCGGTCTGGGGGAAGTGGCAACCACGTTTCGCGGATCGGTCCGTTCCGCGGAATTCCTCAGGCCACTCTCAGCGCCATGAGCGCCATAGGCCTCTCCCACGAGGCGCAAGGGGGGCTGGGAAGCCGCTAGGGCGCAAGCAGACGATTTTACTCGGCAAGCCCAAGGTGTCAAGCCCAACTAGGGAATCGATCAAGTCTGGAAACAGTGGAGTGAACTAGGTCAACCCCCAGTGGTGCCCTTTGTCACCAAGTCTTTTGGTTGGGAGGGCTCCCCCTACTAAAATAGACTACAGAAAAAAGTTGGTTCAAAATTATTCTGGAGGACCTAGCCGAAAGTCGTTGGCGAGCGATTTCTTCGCAATCCCAGGTGCAAGGGTGTCAAGTAAAGGTGGGCTTTTGAGGTGAGTTTCTGGTTCAACTTACGTAGCTTTTTGGATCTTGTTTTAATCAGGGCTTAGATGTAGTTTCCGAATTTAAGCCACGAAAAGTTATTCACTTTTGGCAGGGGCTCTGAGGACAGCCCAGTTTATATAGTGTCGACTGAGTATGGGTGTGGGTATATAAGTATATACTGTACCCTTTTAGATTCAAAGGAAAACTGGCATGAAAAGATAGCTTCACTTGTTTTTGGTATGTATTGAAGTTTTTAGTTTTATTGGTTCGGTTGATTTTTGGTAGGGGCTGCAAAAAGATGTCAGTGTGTCGCTTCCCTACCAAGGGTTGGAAGATAGAGTAGACTGAATATGGGTTACAAGTTCTGACATGAAGTGAAGGGCCCGCACAATGAGCGGGCCCGCATTTTGGGGGTCTCAAAATGACTTTGGGGACAGAACTTCTCTTGAAGCCACAGACAAACCGGTGATCTTGAGGATCTCTTTCTATGGCCCCAGCTGCTTGCACGGTCTTCAACAGGCGCCCTGAGCATGGACCAATCTGACGTCAACCTCCACAAAAAGAAAAAGAAGATGACCCAAGAAAAGAAGAAGTTAGATGAAACTCCTTGGGTAAACAAGGGGTGTGATATTAGCCCCCTTGGTTTTAATGGTCATCCCTGGGTGAGTAACATCAGAAGGTACCACAGCCTTGGAATGCCATGCTTATGTCAAGTGTCAAAATCGCCCAGAACAACCCATTCTCGTTCTTTAGGCCCTCGTAGGTTGCCATTGAACTGGCGGTTACGGGTGTTTGGCTCTTGCAAGCTCCTTCCAAACTTGTCAGACGAAGGCGACCCCGGGAGATCTCCTTGATGCTTCCATGTTCCCTATGGGGCAGACTCGGACCCCCGAAAAATCCCTGCCCCCACCTAGGTCCCCCAGTAGCGCCCTCTCTCACCCTTTTTTGGGGGAGGGTTCCCGTACTAAAATAGACTACATAAAAAAGTTGGTACCCTTATTCTAACCTCTCTACCGGACACACTAGCCCCCTCCGGTAGGGCCGATGGCTTCGCATGTCGCCGAATTCATTTCGCGAAAACGGAGGTCCCAAAGATCTTCCGAGTCCTGGCGGCCATCCTCCACATGGGGAACCTGAGCTTCAACGTGGCGCGGACGAAGAAAAAGATCAGGCTCTTTGTGGGTCTTTGGTACCCTACCCTTTGGAAAGCTACGACTCCACCAGGGAATGGAACGAAACCAGCCACAAGCTCGCATCCTCACTGCCACGACACACTTTGATTGTGGAGACATCAAAAGGAAAAAAGCACGAAGCCATTTTTCGGGGGAAGCCAAACTAAAAAGCGACACAGCCAGAAAACCCTGCCATCCCCTAACATGGAAGACAGAACCTCATTGGGTCCTGCAAAGAATGCGCCAGTGTGGCAGTCCGAATATTTGGATCCCTGGTTGCAAGTCCCTGAAACATACAAAAAAATGTCACCTTCCATTCTGGAGTCCCTAACAAAGGGTGGTCCAAGGACGGGTTCCCCAAGGCTCCCTAAAAAACTCCCAAGAAACCCGAAAGGCGCCGTCAACTGCCCACCCCCTGTACCTTAGGGAGTTCATAATTCCAGGGTGGACGAGATAATTCAAACGTACTCCGACATTTTTTTCCGACCAGCCCAGGCCTCCAAAATGCCCCCTATCTTCCTCCTTCGGAAAGGGGTTCACTTGAAAAACCAAGCAGCCTGTACGGAGGCCAACGAAGGAGCATGCAGCATGGATGCTGGTTGAAGGGGGGTGTGTTCTGTACATTCGTTCCTGGCGTCGTGCATTTGTTTTGGCTTGCGGACTTGGAACCATTCGTTGCATTTGTTTTTAAGCTCGGAACGGATGAGCATGTGTCGAAGTAGAGGCCCAACATGATTGGTTTCCTGTTGGTGTCCCTCTGAACCAACCCCAAAAGAAATTCTCTCAAAAACCAGCGCCAGGTGTGTGTGTGTGTACATGAAGACTTGCCATTTTCGCAATGGTTGCTATTCAAGGCCCGCGAGGCAGACGCCCGGAAATCCGCGGCCATTTAGGCTTCAAAACGAACCACTCGACGGCAACCGATGTTTAACACAGTTCCGATGGCTCACTTAGTTTTCTTCCCGGACTTTATACATCTTGAGACGCGCATTTTCGTGGTAAAGAAACCACTTAGACCTTTTTTTTGCAATGTGCAGCTTGCAGGCCCATCAATATTGAAGTGATTTTTGCAGACTTTGGCCAAAAACTCAGGATTTGCGACAGGCTTGCCGTTTGGAGCAAAGCTTCGCCTTCCGAGGTCAGTGGTGAGTCGTGCCAAGTGGCAGGCGCATCCCACGACTTGCGATTGTGTCCGGTTGTGTCTTACGAGGGCACCTTCGTGATGGAAAGGGACATTAGGAACACGACCTTGCTGGCGGTTACCCCATTTTGACACACACCCACCTGCGGTTTTGAGTGAAGCGACGGGTGTTCGCTTGAAAGATATTGGGCAAACAAAGAAGCGGGAGACCTGGGAAAGAGAGGATAGATGCCATTGGCCGGCAAGCAGTCCGGTCCTTGCTCCCACCACCCGCCATCCCTACCTTCCCTGAGTCCCTACTTGTTTCGCTGAAGATTGGCTCCTGTGAAGGGGATCGGATATTTTGACTTGGTTTGGCAATATGCAACTCACGGAGGCCAAAGTAATTGAACACAGTATGAGGGCTACGGATTGGCACAAGGAAGATGCTTCCTGAATCCATGAACCTCAACCAGCTCAGAGCAATCATAGTTGTGACTGATCTCCACTTCGGATATCAGGGACAACCAAACTAGAGGCTGATCTGAACACTAGAAGGGGCAGGGACCTAGTAAGTGCTTAGCAAGCCTGTTTATAACCCACTTAGGCTTGCAACAATGGCTTATCTCACCATGGTTATTACCCACTTACCTGACGTACAATGCCCCTTTAAGTAGTGCTTATTTGAAGGGCTGTGGATCTGGATGGGACTTCAGTTGACCTGATTGCTTGCTTGCTTGCTAGGTGGCTTGCTAGCTTGCTGGCTGGCTGGCTGGCTGGTTGGCTTCCTTGCTTGCTTGCTTGCTTGATTGATCGATTGATTGATTGATTGATTGGTTTCAGATCCCCTGCTGAAACTTTAACTTTTCGTGGGTCAAACGCAAACCCAATCACTAAACCAACTAAAGCTAAGGGCTGGGGATCCGACAAGTGATCCATAGACAAACTGGAGCCTCCCTGGAGTCTCTATGACCCTTCTAAAATAGGCTCATGACCACTTAATTGGGGGGTACGCTGCCACGTGTTTCAAGGGTCATGGAGACCTTAGGCAGCTGTTTGTCACTAAAAAGATGGGCCTGTCATTGGTTCGCCTCTCCGCTCCGCGATGGCGCCGTGGAAACCAGGCGAAGGCAATACGCTAGCCCTCATCGCAGAGCTGCTCGCGGCTCGGCTCAGCGAATGGGAAGGGGTGGGTCTCAAGAACTAGTTTTGTTTGGTTAAAAAAAACACATAAAGCTTGGCATGGGCATATATATATATGTATATGTACATATATGTATATATGTATATATATATATATATATAGTCATACATGTATGTGTGTATTTATGTATTAAATCATTACACTGATATACACACATACATACATACATACATACATACATACATACATACATACATACATACATACATACATACATACACACACATACATACACATACATACACGTACATACACACACATACATACATACATACATACATACATACACATACACATACATACATACATACATACATACATACATACATACATACATACATACACATACATACACATACATGCACATACATACACATACATACACATACATACATACACATACATACACATACATACACATACATACACATACATACGCATACATACATACATACACATACATACATACACATAGATACATAGATACATAGATACATAGATACATAGATACATAGATACATAGATACATAGATACATAGATACATACATACATACATACATACATACATACATACATACATACATACATACATACATACATACATACATATTCACGAAACTCAGCATATGTCTTGTGTGTACCTCGAACTTGTGGCAAGGAGCGGAAGGAGATGGTTCTGCCTTGCGTGTTTCGAGCTCAGTGCTCACCTTGGGGGGGTTCGCGGTTTGTTTGTTTTTTGTTGTGGTGATTAGTGCTTTGGCTTTTGCTGTATCCTCATTCAGTGAAGAGTGAAGACACCTTATCCTCTTCATTGATGATCCTTTGGGGGGTACTTTTGCTGTATAACCTTCATTTGGCTTGTTCATGCCCTACCTTGACCTGTTGACCCCTTCCAAGTCCAACTTTGTTTTGTACTAGCTCTTAAAAGACGTCTAGCTTTGTTATTTACTGTCAGACAATTGTCTGTGGAACGCATATCATATTGTTCATTGTGTAGATCGACGAAGACATTTCTGGAGTGAATCTCCACGCTATCAAGATGACCGGCCTTTTCTCGCCTTGGCGGTTCCCAGCAAATCATCCGGTCCCTGAGGGCGTGTCTGGGATTTTAGTTGGTTTCGTGGTTGGGTTTCCATCCAATACAGGCTAAACTTTCGGTAGGGGATCTGAGGCCAGCCTCGTTCTTTCGGGTTTTGGGAGCTTTCGAAGTTGCAGAGATCTTCATCAGACTTGAGCGGGAGTTGGCTTCAGAAATGTTGCAAGGGGTTGCTCCGGTGGCCGCATCAAAACCTTGCTGCTCAACAAATGGTGTGTGTTTCTCCTTGGGATTCCTTGTAGAGGAATCTCCTTTTCTGAGTTGGAGTCGCCTTGGGTTCTTTCTGTGGAAATGTCCAGATGGATTCTGCCATTCGAAGGTTTCAGCAGACTGGACCAAAGCTCTAGGTCAATCCCAAACAAGCAGTAAGCAAGGATAAGATATCAGGTTCATGAGCCCTAGGCCCTGAGTTTTCCCTTGGTACACTTGAAGATGGTTGATTTTGGGTTGGGAGTTTTAAGGGGTCAAAAATAGCTCACAAGGTACCTTAGGGATTTGGGAAAGGAGCAAATTACTCCAATGAGCTGCGCCCCAAAACCCCATGGGTCATTTTACTAGGTTCTACTGCCTGGTTTCCATGGGGGAGGCAATGGTAAAATCCATATAAACCTTCATGAATCTATCTTCTTCTGAGGGTACCCCTTTTTTGTTGTTTGACAGGGCAACCAACAGGAAAACCGACACCATTTTGCCGAGTCCCAAAAAAGAACACCCAGAATCATCATCTTAAACCACATATACAAACCCATCTTTTTCACCCATTGCAAAAAATCGAAGGGAAAGAAAGCAACACCAAAGCCATTGTGCCCAGCACCTAAGAAGAACTCCCAGAATCACCATCTTAAACCCTTTTGGCTAAAAATACAGCAAACGGAAAACCACCTTTGTTGTTGGTTTTTCTCGAGGAACCACGGATATGAATGGGTCGCATCAGGTGTATGGAACAGCAAACTAAACGAAAAACCCATCTTTGGAGCCCATGTAATTTCACTCGAGGAACCCATCTTTTTCACCCAAAGGTCTCATGAGAACCGGGGTCCCCCGCCCAGCGACAGGCGGTGCCTTCGAAGGACCTGGCCGCAGCGCTCACCACGCGCACGCGGCAAGTGCCGGGCGAGGGCGTCATTCGCAGCCCCCAGCGCCGCGGCGGGGAGAGGAGGAGTGCTGCGGGGCAAGCTGCAGAGCCCAAAGCCAGTTCAAACTGCTGAAGTGAAAATGTTTATTGAGTTATTAGTATTATTCATTATTAATATGATTATGCTTATTATTATTGTTATTATCATTATTATTATTAGTGTTATTATTATTGTTACTTGTTTTATTATTGTTATTTACACGCTGACGCGACACAGCCGGCCACCGGGCACCCTGCCCTGCCTGTTCTGTCACTTCCCTGTCCTTTGATTCGGATGAGATGCCGAGATTTGAACATCACTTCCTTTGCGCGTTTTTTTTGCAACTTTGGCATTTCCTTTTGCTTCCTGTGCGTTTGAGCTCCCTGCACTTTCTTGAGCGCCGTGTAGTCGCATTCCTCCCCCCTGTAAGCACCCCAGCGCGAAGCCTTGTGCAAACTGCTCGACAGCTAAAACCACAGAAGCGCGCCAACACGCTAAACCCACATGCGCAGGTTGAAGCAGCATGCACGCGCTAGAACGGAAACAGGGCGGAAGTTGCCCCCAGGGCGCTTCTCAGTCATGTGCCTCTGCAACCATGGAGAAGAAGCAGGAGTCGCGACTGCAAACGCGCTCGAACGGGAGGAGGCGGCAAGTTGCCCACAGGGCGCTTCTCAGTCATATACCGCTTCAGCCGTGGAGAAAAGGCGATGGTCGCGCCAGCCAGGGAGTGCGCATGGTGTCAGAGCCGAAAAGGCCGCAGTTGCTTCCGTTGGAGGTTTCCCGACCTGTCACTTCATTTTCCTGCATTTGAAGTCTGTCCTCTGTTTCACTGCCCTTCAGTCGCTACTCGTCATCTACCGGAAAGTTGCCCGCAGGGTGCTTCCAAGTCGAAAAAGAAGTGGAAGGAGGGCGGGGGCCAGCCCGTCAGGCCCGCTCCTGCACTTCCAGTCCCTGCACGTCCTTGCCTTTCCTGTTACTTGAGCCCCCTCCTGTAGTGTACTTTGTTTTTTTGTTGCCATCAATCATCCACAATTGCCCATTCATCTTCCATCCACTTTCCACTAGTACCATCCCTTCCATACATTATTATGCATCCATTCTCCAACAGTGTTCCACCCGCTTCCACAAGCTGCCAGCAGTGTCGCCATGCATGTTGCAAGAGCAGTTTGGCAGTTGTAAGGGAAGCCGAGTGAAGCTAAGGGACGCCAGACAGCACAAGCAGATTGATCACCCCGCATCAGTTGACCGCGCGCTGCACAGCGTCGCGAGGCATTTCGCAAGCGCAGTTTGGCAGTTTTAAGGGAGGCCGAGTGAAGCCAAGGGAGCACCTGAAAATGTTCGTTGCACAAGCAGCAGCATGTTTCACATAGCAGCCACCAATAATGTTCATCGTGCTTGCAGCAACATGTTTCACGCGGCAGCTCTTGATGACGTTCGCCGCAGAAGCAGCAACATTTCTCGCGCAGCAGCTTTCAAAAACATTCGTCGCATCAGCAGCAACATGTGTCACACAGCAGCTTCTGAAAACGTTAGTCGCTCAAGCAGCAACATGCGTCACGCAACAGCCACGTCGGACTAGCAGCAATCACACAACAGATTCGTCGCACTAGCTGCGATGGAACTTTTTTTCTCGCAAAGCCTTGCAGGCTATTGACAAGGGTCAAAAAAAGCAACAGTAGGAAGCAAGGTCCACTTCAGTAACAAGCCCTTGGCTTGGCGCCAGGTAGTTGGAAACCAGCTCTGCGGGCAAGCCAACCCTCGAACCGTTGCAGCCAAGCAAAGCGCCGCAAACACACCTGTCGTTGAGGGTTGTTTCAATAGTCTGGTTTCACCTGAACGTGGCGCGACTCTTTCACTGTAAGACACGAAAAAAAGAATATGAAAACACCTTGGGAATGTCACATGTTGCGCATTATTACTCACAAAGGCAGGGCCGACTTGCGGTGCTTCTCTCGCAGCAATTGCAGCTCGCAGCTCAGACTTGTCCAAACTGTTAGACAGCTGGGGCCGCGCCCGAAACACGCCAACAGGCTTCAGCCACATGAGTCAAGCATCACGCACGGTCTAGCGCCGGAAGAAGGGGAAAGTTGCCCGCGGGGCGGACAAGGAGCTGCAGGCTGGTGACAGTTGCCCATGGGGCGCTGGTAAGTGATTTAGCAGCGCATGGCAAGTGGGGCTGGGCACAGAGCCGGGGGTGTAGTCGTGGCAGTTCCTGGAGATGGCTGGTGCCTCTTCCATGCGGTGGCAAGGTACGGGGCCAGGCCTGGAGAAGGTGCTAGGCCGCGCTGGTGTCTGCGTGCTGCAGCGGAGATCTACTTGCAGGCGCTAGAGTGGCTGTGGGCGGCGCTGGCTGGACCAGATGCCGCAGCAACTGAAGCAGCTTGCGTGCCAGAAACGGAGGCGGAGTTGGAGCGACACCGAGACTTCGTTCGACGGCGCGGTGGCGTGGAGGCACAGGTTCCAGACGCCAAGCTGGTGCTGTGGAGTAAGGTGCTGGCTGTGGTGGAGCAGCCTAACGGTCTGGACTCCTTCCATCATGGGACCAGCGCAGAATTGTGGGCGCTCACCCAGCAGTTCGACTTCGATGCTATAGTATGGAGCGGCGTCCCTGACGCGAACTACTGGGCACGAACTCAGACTCGTGTCACGGACGAAGAATGCCGGACGGCAGTGGCTCGGCTCCCGACCGTGCTGCAGCTGCTGCACCGAGAGATCGGCAACGTGGGGCACTATGATCTGCTCGGGACCGATGCCGTGTCTCCGCAGCCGTTTGCGCGGACACCTTGGGTGAGGCGGTGGGCCGAAGGCGGCAGTGAAGCCATGTGGGAAGTGCTAGGCATGCTAAGGCGGCCCGAGCGCATCCATGCTCCAATTCCTGAAGCGGAGGCGGACGTCTGGTCCGAGCCAGAAACCAACAGTGACGTGGTCTTGTCAGACAAAAACTCTGACAAAATAGACATGGAAACCGATAGTGTGCCAAGGCGGCCCGAGCGCATCCATGCTCCAATTCCTGAAGCGGAGGCGGACGTCTGGTCCGAGCCAGAAACCAACAGGGACGTGCCCTTGTCAGACAAAAACTCTGACAAAATAGAGATGGAAACCGATAGTGTGCAGTCGTGGGACTCGCAGGATGCCAGCGACGAAGCTGAAGAGCTTGGCCCGGTGGCGGTGGAAGCCAGCAAGACGTGGACCACCCTGGAAGACACAGACGTCCACCTTGCCGAGCAAGTGGCATCCCTGCTGCGGCCGACGCCGCTGCTGCCGCCGCCGCTCCCGGCCTGGAGTGCCAGCATGTCCGCGCCTGCCTCAGGAATAGTCTACCCCGCCGTGCATTGCGCGTTTGCAGGCTGCGCTTGGTGCAGCGAGATGCAGCCGTGTCAAGAGGCCTCGGGGCACGCTGGAGCGTGGGTGGTGCCAGACTTACACTGGACTCGCCTGAGTGGCACCTGCTGCGGCAAGGCGAACACGTGTCTCTGGGCTCACTTGGCCGCGTGCCACTGGGACAGCCTGTGTGCCGGCCAGCCAGGGCAGGAGTGGTGGCAGGCCAAGAGCCGGTACATGCGAGCCCTTGTTTGCCGAGAGGAGGCATCCGTGCCTGCAGTGGGCTGGAGTGTGGATCGGCGCACGCTACGCCGTCTCCGACAGGAGAGGCGCGAGGAGCACTGCGTGGCCTTGGTGTGCGCCTGTTGCGCGGCAGTGCAGCCTGGAGGTCCTAATGGCAACGTAGGATACGTGTCAGTGCGCGAGCTGTTCACAACCGTGTCAGCCGAGAGCTTTGCCGCGAACTGGAGCTTGACAGAGTACATTCGCAAGTACGGCGAGCACGCGGCCGTGAGAGATCGGCTTCCGGAGCAGGATTGGCAGCTGTCGCTGCCGCCCGATCTGTTTGAGGGGCAGCGAATTCTGTGCTGCCCAGAAGACCGCGTGTGTGCCGCGTGTCCAGCCACGCAAGAGCAACTGTGCGCTGAGTGCAAGCTGCCACTGTGCCGGACATGCTGGAGCCGGTTGCGGCAGAGCACGTGCCCGCAAGTCCCGCAAGCTCTTGCCAATGACAACTGGTACGGGTATCCCCCGAATTTCTTATATCAAGAAAAGGTGCGGTGGATTGAGGCCGCGGCAGCATGTCCTGTGTGGACGTCCGTGGTGAGTTTCTATATAGAGGAAGATCGCGGGCACCTGATGGAGGAGGAGCTGCATCGCAGCGACTTCCGCGTGGCCGTGCGAGGCAATGTTAGCTCCTTCAGCATGCCTTGGGAGGAGATCTACGGCAGTCTCCACCGCTTGGGGGCGGAGGCTGTGCTGCATCAGCTGCCGCACGCAGTCCCGGTGCTCAACACCATGATGAAGTTGACAATCAAGGGCATGCGGCACGCCGAGATCGTGGAGTGGGTGGCTGGTGCAAAGCTGCGCCCGTGGATCGTCGTGAGGTTGTTGGAGCACCTGATCGACAGCGGACATCCCATGTGTGAGGCATGGGCAGACAAAGCCGCACTCAAAGAAAGCTTGAAGCAGCGAGTGTTCAGCAGGTACGGCAAAGACGAAGTGTCGCCGGTGACCATGGAGGCCGCCTCGATGGCGCCGGAGGAAGCCGACCAAAGCGGCGGAGGGCAGAAAAAACATGCCACACCTGAAGCGGCCAGCGTGCATGAAGTCAACGGCGAGGCCTTTGCTGGCATAGTGCGGCCGCACGTGTTGTCGTCCGACTACACTAGCTCCCAGGTGCACGACGTAGACGTGCAAGAAATTGTGCAGCTAGCCAAGCTCACCGCGCACGTGAAGGTGCAAACCGGGCAAAGCTTTTGGGATCAGTGGCAAAATCGGTTCGTCAGCTGGGCGTACCCTTTCAGCCTGCCCGCGCCAGTGGGCGGTCCGGATTTCCCGTCCAAGTCGCGGGACCGCAGGGGCAGTGAGGCTGCCGTGCTCACGCCCTTTGCATACATGCAATCGCTGGCCCGGCGTGTGGAGAGCTCCATCCGCAACTCCTGGGATCTAGTGCCCGGGGTGCGCCGCATCACGATGAAGT